TTCTGCCATCCATATGCACAGGTTCGTCACGTTGTTTACTTGCTTCCCTCTGTCTCTTTGCCTTCAATATTTTCTGAGAGTGTAAATTTTTCCAAGATTTTCTTTTTAATGTGTACTAGAAATTTGATCTCTCTGCGAAAAACATACTTACCTGTAAGGATATATATATATAAATGTAAGTTAAACTTCTTTAAATATATTCAATCAATATTGTAATCAAATTCCCGGAAATCTGCCATCAAATAAAACACAAAATTGATGTCCAAGGATTTCGTGGTTGTTATAAAAAGCGAAGTAAAATATGAGATTCAAAAACATTATTTGTTTAAAATTTTAAGTGGAAAAAAAGAACATGATCATTTTCGATGTTTGCATCCAATACAACTACGATCAAACAATGGAAACTTCTAGCAGCGAGAAACATATTATCAACCAAACAGCTGGCATGAATAAAGTTGTAGAAAGCCAAAATAGACGCTGAAGTAGAGAAAGATAAACATAAACTAAACTTGGTTTTCTTGGAGGTAGACACCAAAGCTAGAAGTACAAACGAAGTCTTAATTGACAAAAGGCCCGAAGTTGCCAAACGGTTGATGTGATTTTGTCAAACTACTGAATGAACATGCGAAGGCTTCTGGCGTATCTTTGAGTTACTTGGCCTCTAGCAATTTTCTGAGATAAATCAAATGTCAATAATAATAATAATGATCATTTTCCGAGACAAATCAACTGTAAATAATAATAATAATAAAAATAATAATCGTTTTGGAAAACATTGTAGAGAGGTATAGTATAAAGAGTTGAATTTCATCATCACTTCTTTATTATGATCCACCAAATACTTATTTTATGTGCGTGTCCGTTCAGGACTTTTATGATCATTGGTCGCCACAGCATGCCATCCCTTGCATCATGAAACAATACTTATGCCCTTATTATCCCTCGCTCTTCATGTTCTGCCATCTATTTACGGAAGTACGTTGAGTATGTCACTCGCGGTTTCATTATGTCTCTTTTCTTTTCAATATGTCCTTTGAGTAGCAAATTCTCAAAACCCCCTTTCCCCAATATGCCTGACATTTAATTAACTCTTTCGTGTGATGCGCTTCGTCTTTTTGTTATGCTGGTGGTGCGACTACACATGCGCATGGATGAGGGATGTTGAAAATTTTAAATTTAATTTTTTTAAAATAAGATCTAGCCTATTTTATTTAGGTTCTTTTTCTTTTTGTTTCAGTCACATTTGTTATTAAAACATCCCACATTGTGATAATAGAAAATCTTTCAGCAATGTTGAAATCATGCACAAGTCGTGAAGCAAACATATAAATATACTGTGGCTGACCTTGTGATCAAGGCAATCTCTAAACATTTTCGTCTTAGTAAATTGTTTTCTTCTTTGATCAGAATAGCTTGAACCACAGTTTTTCAAATGGATTTAGATCAGGTCTTTATCTAGGCTATTTAAAGACTTGAAATTTCCTTTTACGAGACTATCTTTTGTGGATTTGCTTTGATGCGTGGATCATTTCCCAAACCTAAGCACACATTTCCCCCTGAGGGCTAAACATTTTCGTTAAAAATTGTTTGATATCTTTAAGAGTCCATTGTGTCATCACCGCGTACTATTTTGCCTGTACAAACTTCAGTAATATACCGCCAAATTATAATACAGCGGCCGCCATTTTTAACTGTTGGCACCTTCTCTTCAAAAACCATATAAGGTACTTGTCATACATACCACCTATTGTTCGTTTCAAAAGCTCTGTTTTGTTCTTATCCGATCATAAAACCTTTTGCAAGACGTTTCTAATTTATTAACATGTGCTTTGGTATTGTTGAGCCGTGTTTGTGCTTTTTCGTAAGCAGTGGCTTTTTTTTCCTAAGTATTCTACCGTGAAGACCAACATCGTTCAGATGTCGTCGCACTGTAGACGTATGCACATAGATTCCAGCATTGGCCAGGGAGCCTTGGAGAACCAGTCAGGGCACAGAAGGATTCTTCTGGACTTGCCGAACTAGATATTTACTTGCTTTTGCAGTTATTTTTGGAGAACGGCAACTTCTTGATTGCGATGCCATGATACCAAATATAAATAAATAATTTACCACACGGTAGAGATGTGCACTCCAAAACGTTTTCATAGCCTTTTCTAGCCTTCTACATCATAATAGGATTCAACTATGTGATATTTTAAATATTTATGAAGATCTTTTGTTTTTGCAATATTTTGTTTTTACATTTAGTCATTAACTGCACCATTTTCATACACAATGATTTCTTTAGGTTGACTGCTGCATACACAGTTTATCACAAAATGAAAAAAATTCATTTGGAGTTTTAGAAATGCACAATATATATATATATATATATATATATATATATATATATATATATATATATACTAGCAACCTTGTAAAACAAAAATATATATACTAGCAACCATGTAAAACAAAAAATAAGAGTATAAATGTTAGGGCTCACTAACTTATATTTTCA